GACGCTACTAGGGGCTGCTGGCATCGCTACTAGGAGCGACGCTACTAGGGGCTGCTGGCCTTACTCCTAAGAACAAGGGCCTTACTAGTAGTAACAATCAGAATTTAATTGGAATTGTAATTACTAGCTTCTTGTTACTACCAGTAAGGCACTTGTTACTACTAGCGATGCACTTGTAATTACTAGCAAAGGAATCTACTAGGACCTTTTCGCGCGCGGGGGGGGGTAGGAGCAAGGACGCTACTAGGGGCTCCTGGCATCGCTACTAGGAGCGACGCTACTAGGAGCTCCCTTTGGCCTTGAGCGGGGAAGAAGTTTCGGTCAAATGCTTTTGGCCCCCAATTCCGCTTCAATAGTGGATGCTCTCGGCACATGTTCCCATTTTCCCGAGTGGCCAGTGTCTGAGACAAGAACAGGATACCACCAAAGATGTAGAACACCTGCGAAACATGCAAGGGCAAGTCTTCCAAAGTCATATTCTCACTTGGCGTACACTGTTCAGCACCTTCAAGATCTGTTAACCCTGGTCAAACCTCCACAGGGGCCTGACCCATCTTGGTCATGGTGGCTGGGCTTGCCAAGGACCAGTAGGGCATGGCAGCGAAAAGCACCGAGCCGCTTAAGTACAGCGTGCTCCCTAAGAAGCTTGGATCTCCAATTAAGGAGCGCCACAAACTCCTCGGCTTCGCCACCGCAGTTAAGCTTCTATTGTTCTTTGCAGCTTAAACCTTAAACATCGAAAAACCTTCTATGAATCTATGTCACTGTCTTATTTGAGAGCGACTGTCCAGTTTCACCAGTCCAAGCAACAAATAAAAATTGCGCTCTGCATTGTCATGAAAATTCCTGAACTCCTGGTCGCCATGAGTCACATCAGTGGCACATCGCTGAAAGCGCTAACTTGTTTGATGACCAAAATATACCAAAATGACAAAAAAAATAAACACATTCTTTACAATCCCATGCGAGTGGGCGTTTAGCTATTGGGTGTTGTCACTACACATTGCTGTTTCAAACAAAAGCATGTTCTTTACAGCTTCATGCTGGCTTCAAGAGCCAAAGGTCAACCAGCCTGAGGACCTCAAAGCCTCAATTGTCAAAGTTCTCAGGCCTAAAGCTGCTTAAGTCTTTCTCTCTTCTCCACACGGTCCTCTCTGGAGATGGCTTCTGTGTCGTCAGTATTGATCTCTTCCCAAATGGCGTTGAACCCGCTCATGTCCATGATCCCACAGTTCCTCAGACATCAAGATCACAGTCTGCTCCAACAAGCCACGTCTGCAAAGCCGCATCAAAGCCACGTCCAGCTGAGTCTAGCTACACCGTCCAGCTGAGTTATTGCCCCTCATTCTCACTAAGGCACCCATCATCCCCACAGAGTCCTGTTCCTCTCGCATGTAGAGCTCCACACACACATTACCCATGCTACAAAAAAAACACTAATTTAAGGGAATGTTGGCCTTGGTCTTAACAAAGCCGGTCTTAAGCTACTAGGAACAAGTGCATCGCTACTAGTAACAAGTGCCTTACTAGTAGTAACAATGTTCGCTATTAGAAACAAGGACGCCGAGACTTCTTTCACTCCTTTCTCTTCGACTGTGAAAGAAGTCCGACCCAAGCGTCATCATGTACTGTGCCAACTCCCGCCGGTCCAGAAGACCATCTCGGTCCAAGTCGGCCGAGTCGAAGACACGATCGGCCGGATGTCGTGGAGTGCTCCAAGAACCCAGGAGCCGTTGCCACACATTGGGCGCCTTCGGAAGCCGAGTGAAGCGAGTGAAGAATGGACGCATTCGGTCCGGATGAGTCTCCCTTCGAGATCAGGAATCCTAATGGTTTACAGTGGTGCAAACGCAATAAGAAGCTTCTTTGATGGATTTCTTGGGGAGCTTGGAAGAGAGAGAGATTCGCTTTAAGACGCGTCCATAGCTGGACTTGAAAAAGGTGTCAATCTGTCAATCTGGCCTCATCAGGAGGATGCAGCACCTGTGTGGAGGGTCGGAGTTGGTGCTGGTGGAACCTTTGGATGTAAAGAAAGAAAGGAAGGAAAAAGAAAAGAAATAAAAAGCAAAGAAACGCAAGTTTCCTCTTTCATTTCAAACACGCATTCTGAGAATGAATGCATTTTACATTTTAAGAAAAGTACCTGGGTCCCTGAAGTGAGGTCTCAGGCTTCATTACATCCAAGCTGTCGTTCACTTCTTCCAAAGGCACTGCTTGGATACGAGGTAGCTGCCACCAAGCCACTGCCTTCAGGCCGATGCAAAACTCGAGAGAAGCAACGTTGCATCAAAATACGTCAAAACATGCAGTAATGGTGCGACATTAAACTTATTTCTATTTAAACTTATTTATTGTTTCTAATAGCTTCTTGTTACTAGTAGTACGGCCAGGAGCCCCTAGTAGCTTCCTTGCTCCTGGTAGTAAGGCCAGGAGCCCCTAGTAGCATCCTAGCAGATGGTGCGACATCAGTGCAAAATGGTTGGATGCTCCTTCATGCAATACCCAGCTGACTGATTGCTACTCAGCTACTCATTGGCGCCGGGTTTTTGTTCAGATGTTTTCCAAGGCGAGGCACTGCCACCGAGGTAACACCAAGGCCCAGGGCGCCTAAACCCACGGAGAGGCGCTGCGCCAAGGACGGCGGACTGCGCCGAGCCGGCACGGCCGAAGACTGCAGTCAAGAAAGGAGCCTTGTTTTTAGTTCCTAAAGAAAAAAGGTGTGGGGAAATGAAAAAGAATTATAAAGAAGGAAACATATTAACAAAATTCAGTTAAAAAGAATTCAAAAGGTCTGTTTGAACAACAATCAGTTTTGGTGGTGCAACGCTCTAGAGTTTCCCGGTTTCAAGTCTTGGGTGGGGAAGAATCATGAGCAACCTGTTCACCTTTGAAGGCAATTTCAAAGTAATAGCAATGGCCTCCAACCTAAGAGCGATGGCCTCCAACCGGTTTCTTATGGTGTCTTCTTTCCTTTCATTTTTATTTAGAATTCCAATCCCCACCTTCCTGAATGGCCAATCCGCGCTCCACTGCTTTGAGATGCCTGCAATGAACCAACTTCAAGCCAACTGATCATTCATCAGCGAATGCTTTCGCAATCAATACATTTCAAGACTATGTCTTGCACAATACGTGTACCATTGTTCAACAAACCCAGCAATGAAGTTCCTACTAATACTGGACCCATTGCTAGTAGGTTGAAGGCCATCGCTTCTAGGTTCCTTTTGCTATTAGGATGGCTTGGCCCTCCCATAGGCTCGAGAGCACCTCCTCAGCAAAGCATCGGATCGCCTCGCAAAAAGAACAAGCGACCCGATTTGATGGCCTCCCACCTAATAGCAATGGCCTCCAACCTATTCGCCTTCCTTGCGAAGCATAAAAACAACCTACTTGTACCAATCAATTGTTCATCAGCGGAGGAACGTGCTGTTGCGATGCAAAACAGATTGGCTATCGACTAAACAGTTTGGAAGACGCTTCAAAGCCTCCGAAACTCTCTTCTGCCGAAAGTGGCTGAAGTGGCGGCTTGGCAGCATTGCGTGTCCAGCAAGGCCCGCAAGGGCCAAGTGGAGAAAATTCAGCTGACAGTTGATTTGGGGTGCACAGCATCTACATCATGGACATCTACGGCTATGCAGTCAAATGCCGCCGAAAGCGGAAAGATCACCGATTGTCTTTCTCCGGTCGGATGAATGAAGGGTCTGCTTTCGTTCAGATTGAAAGGTGAACCTCCTACAACTGCCCTTTGAACAAGAAGCTACCCTGGCATCGCTACTAGGAGCAAGGACGCTACTAGTAGCTCCTGGCCTTACTATAGGAGCAAAGGGCATCATGTATGTCGTATGTTCCTGGCTTCATGTTCGATAGTATGCAAAGGACAGCTCGAGCCCATTGGTGCAGCGTCAAACAGATCTTGATCCCAAAGGCGTTTTTGAAAGCCAAGAATCAAAAGGCATGTTGGGTCGGGTGGGTGCTTGGCAACAAACAAACAGATCACCTTCGGAAACGGATTTCCCCTTACTACTGAAAACAAAAACGCATCCAAAAATACCACAGCATAATTTTATAAGTTTAATTAGAGAAATCACGCCACGCAGAAGTACTAATCGCCTCTCTTCCGAGAAGGAGCTATGCCTCGGAGGAAGTTCTATGGTGCTCAATTGCGAGGGAAAGAGGATCAAACATTCAAAGCAAAGCACGAGTGAGCAAGCATGGTTGGCATGATCGCAGAAACACTCAGGGGGCACTATATAAGTCGGCGCAAGATTGCACAAACTGTATTGCAGCCAATTCGAATCCACAAATTCTTTGGATTCCTTTCGATTCTTCCATGCCCAGTTAATCGACCAGACCATTGTTGACTGGGAGCTCTGCGCAGATTGGCTTTTTGCCTGCAAAGATTATGGCTGTTTGGGCTCACCGCTGTGCGTGAAGCTTTGCATGGGTGAACTAGGGGCAGAAGAGAGACCCATGTCGATACAGCAAATCACGACCAGCGTGAACAATCAATCCAAACCAAGAAAAAGAAGAGGAAAAGAATGAAAACATATTCTTATCCAACTAGGGACATTTCAATTGGATGCACTTCTTAGTGACCCTCTCGAAGTCCAATATGGCACTTGGAGCGCCTCTTCTGGGTCTTCTTCCCCTGCCGGTTGCGGTATACATGCTTCAACGATCGAATCACTTCATGTTCCGCCAAGTTGCTTGTGGAAGCTGTGTTGGACTGAATTACCCATATGCTCGTGGAAACAAGGGTGCTTTTTGGAAGAAGACTGCTTTCTTGACCACTGCTTGCTACTAGCAACATCTCGAGCGTGTCAGTTTCTCACAAACTGTGCGACTGGACAACATGATGGAAAATATGTATTCACTTGGCAAGAGTATCTTCCGAATACACACTGTGATCTAAAGTGTGCAGTGCGTGTGACACGTGTGACACCAACTTCAGCCTGCATGTGTTGGCGTCAACTACTCCTCGCAAGAACGACTAGCTAAGGTTCGAGGCCATCGCTATTGGATTGGAGGCCATTGCTATTAGGTGGAATGCTAGAGTAGCCCTTTGCTCCTAGTAGCGTCCTTGCTCCTAGTAGTAAGGCCAGGAGCCCCTAGTAGCGTGGCACTTGTTCCTAGTAGCGAGGCCCTTGTTACTAGTAGCGACTCCCTTGCATCGCCCTTGGGCACCCTCGGGCCCTTGTGCCTTCGGGAGTTTCGGCCCCACCGGCGACCTGCCAAGTCCGTCCGGACGAGGAGTGCGTCTTTAGGACCCGTGCTTCTCAAGGCATGTAAAGACCAAGAAGCTAGTAGTAACAGGTGCCACGCTAGTAGTAGCAGGTGCCTTACTAGTAGTAACAAGAAGCTAGTAGTAACAGGTGCCACGCTAGTAGTAACAGGTGCCTTACTAGTAGTAACAAGAAGCTAGTAGTAACAAGTGCCACGCTACTAGAAACAGGTGCCTTACTAGTAGTAACAAGAAGCTAGTAGTAACAAGCGCCACGCTACTAGTAACAGGTGCCTTACTAGTAGTAACAAGAAGCTAGTAGTAACAAGTGCCACGCTACTAGTAACAGGTGCCTTACTAGTAGTAACAAGATGCTAGTAGTAACAAGTGCCACGCTACTAGTAACAGGCGCCTTACTAGTAGTAACAAGAAGCTAGTAGTAACAAGTGCCACGCTACTAGTAACAGGTGCCTTACTAGTAGAAACAAGAAGCTAGTAGTAACAAGTGCCAGCCTACTAGTAACAGGTGCCTTACTAGTAGTAACAAGAAGCTAGTAGTAACATAGTAACAAGTGCCACGCTACTAGTAACAGGTGCCTTACTAGTAGTAACAAGAAGCTAGCAGCAACAGGCGCCACGCTAGTAGTAACAGGCGCCTTACTAGTAGTAACAAGAAGCTAGTAGTAACAGGTGCCACGCTACTAGTAACAGGTGCCTTACTAGTAGTAACAAGATGCTAGTAGTAACAGGTGCCACGCTAGTAGTGACAGGTGCCCTTACTAGTAGTAACAAGAAGCTAGTAGTAACAGGTGCCACGCTAC